GCAGCCCCCACTCTGCCATCTCAGCATACCGACAACTGAACAATGGAACACTACAGACAACTACCTGACCATCTGACCAAAGAACATAATCGTCAATTGAATAGGAGACAATAAGGACAGCAGATGCTGGAAGCTAGAGTTTATAGGTGTGAGGTTGGAAAAGCACAGCAGGTCAGACAGCATCCAAGGAGCAGACAAGTCAACGTTTTGGCCCATCAACTGAACAGACTGATCAAGACCTTTGATCCAGACCTTCAGAGTATCCTATGCACTCTCATCCCACGTACTTCTCGCATAGGAGACTTCTACTCAATGGCCCCAGTGCGTGAGATAAGGCACTGGCCTCCTAAGCCAGGGATTGTGGGTTAGAGTCCCATCTGGGGTGTCTGATTCAGGGTGGCACCGTGGCACAGTGGTTAGCACTGCTGCCTCACAGCGCTAGGGATCTGGGTTCAATCCCACCCAGGGGCGACTGTCTGTGTGGAGTTTGCACGTTCTCCCCGTGTCTGTGTGGGTTTCCTCCGGGTGCTCCAGTTTCCTCCCGCGGTCCAAAGATACGCACGCTAAGTGGATTGGCCATGCTAAATTGCCCGTAGTGTTCAGGGATGTGTAGATTAGGTGGGTTTACTGGGGGATGGGTCTGGGTGGAATGCTCTGAGGGTCGGTGTGGACTTGTTGGGCCGAAGGGCCTGTTTCCATACTGTAGGGATTCTATGATGCTTCCTTCCGAAGATATACGAAGCCAACACACCTGGACATCCCATCATATCAGGCAATAGAACCTTGTATGAGAATCTCTCTGACTATGTCACGGAGATCTTGAAACCCATTGTACAAGGAATCCTGAGCTTCTGTTGCGACACTACAGATTTCTTACAGAAACTCAGCACCCACAGACCAGTCAAACCAGGAACATTCCTCGTCACAATGGACGTTTTAGCGCTCAACACCAGCACCCCCCACGAAGACGACATCACTGCAACAGCCTCAGTACTTAATACCACCAACTGCCAACTTCCAGACGCCATCCTACAACTCATCTGCTTCTTCCTCGAGCACAACATCTTCACCTTTGACAACCAGTTCTTCATCCAAACACATGGAACAGTCATGGGGACCAAATGTGCACCCCAATATACCAACATTTTCATGTACAAGTTCAAGTGAGACTTTGTTGTTGTGCAGCACCTCCGATCAATGCTATACACCAGATACATCAACAACATATTCTTCCTTTGGACTCATGGCGAGGAGTCCCTGAAACAACTACATAGTGATATCAACAGGTTTTATCTCACCATCAGACTTACCATAGATTACTCTTTAGAATCAGTCTCATTCTTGGACACATGCATCTCCATCAAGAATGGACACCTCAGTGCCTCACTCTATCACAAGCCCACGGATAGCCTCACGAGGTAGACTTCTCTAACTTCCACTCTGAACATGTTAAAGAAGACATCCCCTACGGACAAGCCCTGAGCATACACAGGATGTGTTGAGATGAGGAGGAATGCGACGGATGCCTAAAGATTTTGAAGGACTCATAAGAATGGGATACGATGCTCAACCCATCGATTGCCAGTTCCAACGGGCCACAGCAAGAAACCGCAACAATCTCCTTCAGAAGACAGACATAGGATATGACTGATAGAGTACCCTTTGTCGTACAGTACTTCCCCAAAGTGGACAGACCACACCATGTTCTTTGTAATCTTCAACATGTCATTGATGATGATGAGCACCTCGCCAAGATCATCCCTACGCCTCCATTTCTCGCCTTCAAACAACCACCAAACCTTAAACAGACAATCGTTCGAAGCAAACCACCCAGCTTTCAGGACAACATCGACCACAACACCACACAATCCTGTCATGGCAACCTCTGCAAGAAATCGACATGGATACTACCATCACACGTGGGAACACCACCCACCACGTACACGGCAGATACTCATGTGACTCAGCCAACGTAGTCTTTCTCATATGCTGCAGGCAAGGCTGCCCTGAGGCATGGTATATTGGTGAGACCATGCAGACACTCCGACAACAGATGAATGGACACTGCACAACAATCGCCAGACAGGAATGTTCCCTTACACTTGAGTGGTCAAGGGCATTCAGCATCCGATCTTTGGGTAAGCATCTCCTCCAAGGCGGTCTCCGAGATACACAATAACGCAGAATTGCCGAGCAGAGACTGACAGCCAAGTTCCCGACCCATGAAGACGGCCTCAACGTGATCTTGAGTTCATGTCGCGTGACATGTGACCCCCACCACACTGTTCTGTATCTGTAAAATCTTCCTTAATGTCCTATTTTGACAGCATCACCTTGATAAATTGTTATGATCTCTCTATCTTAATTAGTTTGTACAGTTTTAGATTACATATGACTTTGGTTAGACCCTCAGTGTGCGACTCTTATACCAATGATGTTATTCCACCATTTGGTTTGTCTCCGGCAACACCTTACTTTTAATTTTTTGTAATTATCTCTATGCCTCATTTAATCGGATTATAGGTCATCCCTTCGCTTGTTATTCAGCTGTTGATACTTTACTCACAATGTCTAACACTTTGGACCACCTGCAGAGACTTAGTATTCAGCACTCCACTCACACCACTTGCATGGTCTTTTGATCTCTCTGCCATTGATTTTTGTTTGCCCCTATATTCTGTGTTCTGTGTGCTTGTCTCTCACTTCACCTGACGAAGGAGCAGCACTCCAAAAGCTTGTGATTTCAAATAAACCTGTTGGACCATAACCTGGTGTTGTGTGATTTCTGACTTTGCCCACCCCAGTCCAACACTGGCACCTCCACATCTCAGCTTCACTAGAAATCTAAAAATTTGATCCAACATTCTTCAGAGATTGACAGCAGCATCTTGCAATGGTCTCACGGCTAAGTGTCCAAAGCGGATGGAGGAGGGAATAAGCTGGAGAGGAAAAAAGGGGAGGAAGGCACCTGAGCTGAAAGGGATTCAGCATGGACTGCAGCAAGACTAAAGAAGCAGGGGTTGTCCACAGTCTGTGTCAGGACAGAGTAACTGACTCAACAATCCCAGTCGCGATCGCCCTTTATAATTATCCCAAGCTCACTGAGGTGAACTGTTCTCTTATTCAATCAAGGAATTTGAATGTCACTGACAAAGCTGGCATTTGTTGCCAATTCCTAAATGACCTTCACAGACAAGATGTTGGCGAGCTACATTCTTGAACCAATATAGTTTCTGGAGCATAGGGACAGCCATGGTGCTGTCAGGCAGAGAGTTCCAGGATTTTGATCCAACAAGAGAGCAGGAACGGGGATGTATTTCAAAGGTCAAGACTATTTGTGATTTGGACAGGAACTCGCGGGTGGTGGTGTTTCCATGCATCTGCTGCCCTTGTCCCTGCAGATGGTAGAGGTCGCAAGTTTGGAAGTTAAACTGTAGTATCCCAAGTCTCCTCCAACAGTACCTTGCAGATAGTACACATAATGCTGCCACTTTGCATTGGTGATGGATGGAGTGAATATTTAAGGTGATGGATGAGTTCCCAATCAAGTGGGCTGTTCTGACCTGAAGGGTGTCAAAAGTTTTGCGCTGCATGCATCCAGGCCAGTGAAGTGTATTCCATCACACCTCTGACTTGTGCCTTGTGGATGGCAAACAGGCTTTGGGAGTTAGAGGTGAGTTACGTCTCACAAATCTGACCTGCTCTTGTAACATTTATATGTGTAATCCAGTTGATCATAGTGTGGGATACAATGATGGTTAACATTATGGTTATGGGAAGATGGTTAGATGCTCTTTTCTTGGTGAGACAGTGCAAAATTACTTTCCACCTATATGTCTGAGACTGTCTGCCGTCTAGGTCTTGCTGCATACGTACACAGACTGTTTCAGTTTCTTACAGTATTTGCCAAGCATCAGCAAATATCCTGACTCCTAACCTTACGATAAGGGAAAGGTCACCGAAGATGGTTAAGATGGTTGGGCCCAGGACACTCCTCCGAGGAATTCCTGAAAACAAATTTGGCCTGATGTCATGGGCAGTCATTCTCACCTCACTTCCAGAGATCACTTCTTTTCTCCATTACAAGGCTGTAAAATGAGGACTGCATCATTGTGGCCCCAGCAGAACTCAAACTGAACAGTAATGAGCAGGTTATTGCTGTGCAAGCGCTGTTTGATAGCACGGTCGACAACAATATCAGTTACAGTGCTGATGGTCGACAGTACACTGACACAGATGGAAATTTAGTGGATTGGATTTGTCCTGTTTTTGTGTGTAGGACATTCTTTGCAATTTTCCACATTGTTGGGCAAATGCCAGTGATGTAGCTGCATTGGAATAGCTTGGCTACATGCACAGCAAGTTCTGCAGCACAAGTCTTCAATATTATTGCTGGAATGTTGTCCAGGACAACAGCCTTTGTGGTATCCGATGCATTCAACCGTTCCTTGATGTCCCATGGAATGAATCAAATAGACTGGCATCCATGATGCTTGGGACCTCAGAAGGAAGCCAAATTGGATTATCCACTTCTGGCTAAAGATGGCTGCAAATGCTTCAGCCTACTTTTTTACACTGATGTGCTGGGCTCGCCCATCGTTGTGAATGGGGATGTATGTGGAGCCCTGACCACCATCATTCATGACTGGATGTGGCAGGACTGCATTCATCACATCTGATCCATTGGTTGTGGAATCACATAGCACTCTCCATCGCACAGTGCTTCCACTGTTTGGAATGCAAGTAGTCCTGTGTTCTAGCTTTACCAGGTTGGCCTTTCATTTTTAGATATGCCAGGAGCTGCTCCAGGCACATCCTCCCATATATCATGGTATCAGATTGTACACCCAGCTGAGATCAGCCAACTTGACACAAACTGGGAACAACATTTTGATTTTAATTATTTGAATCCCCCACCACATTGATTTACGGAGCACATCAAAAAAAAAAGTAACAGGCATTACACTTTGAAAGCTGCAAACTTATCAATTGTAACTCACCTCCTGCTGTTGAAACTTTCTGGGATAGGTGTTACTTTTTCTTGATTCCTCAGTAAACCGATGGGATGTAGCTAACTCTCTTCCCATTTTTCCCACATTGGCAGAGTTGAATTCTCGGTACGTGTCAGTGACTGGCCTGTTGGAAAATACTCATTATGACCTTAGTCACTGATATTGGTATTATAATAGAATTAGCTCCCAATTTTGGTTTTTGCATCATTTACATTGGAACCACAGGAAGTGACACAAAAGGGCAAGGGCACATCTGCTCCATCATGTCAGTGCTGGATCTTTGACAGAGCTACTGATCAATGGTACTGCACATGAACATTGCTGAAAACAGAGATGTCTTTGAAGCTATTTGTTTAGCACTCACTGGGATAAATGCAAGAACGCCAAATTTCAAACAATCACAACAATGTATTCTACTGGAGAAGAGGGCACTAACTGGTTGGAAAGATGATTCTGAATGACTGTGGCGTTGTCAATGCAGCAAACAATGGGTACTTATAGGCTCCCCAAACACCCAAGTAATTCAAAAAAGTAAAGTGCAAGGCTTAAACATATTCCTTCTGTTTACGCGGAATGAGTCACTGTGTATGAATGTCCATTGCTAATGGCAAGACTAAATGTGCCATGTTTCAAATTCAACTGTTTATCTAAAATTGACTGTTAAAGTAGTTATTAGTGCACTCAGGACTATTCTGCAAATGCTGCCTGATTCCAGAAACACGTTTATCAGGAGACACTTAACTTTAGATTTTGTAAGCGTGGGCTAGTATCAAAAGCTGAAGGAACGTGGTGTTTTATTCAGTCAACTAGTCATTGAGATCTACAGCCTACCAAAGTGACATCCAACTCTGAAATCTGTGTGGTATGCAGAATGTCTTTGTGGACTGACAGCAGTGTCTTGTGGAAAATAATATTCGCATCGCCACTGTGTTGCATGAACTGGCTTGCTTTATCTTTCGTTCAATTTTTTTTCAAATACTTTGCCTTTCCAGAGTAATTTGAAGTAGACTAGACACTTTTCAGTTCTGGCCCAGTGTGTGTTTTTGTGGTACACAGAGAACAAATGATCTGATCAGGAGTGCATCATCCCAGAGGATCGCTTTGATATGGACTATTTCTGCATCAAACCCATAAGATAATAAAATGGCAAGGGATCTTTTTACAGTATTGCTGTTAATGCCACATTTAGGGTAAAGAGAAAATGAATTTAAATGTGTTTATTAACCAGTGAAGGTTTGTAATAGACAGCGCTGAAGAAACCATTAGAAGATAGCTCACCTAGCACATCAAGGAAAGGCAGTGTCTTACACCGCTCTGTATCAAAAGTGAATCTGAGTGTGAGATAGAACAGTCCAACACCAGATTTGCTCCAGGCCTCAACATGAATGCAAAGATGAATGCTGCCATGGTAACTCAGAGATCAAAAGGAGACCTTGTGATGTAGTTGGTAGCATCCCTGCCTCTGAACCAGAAACTCCAGGCTCATGTCTCACCAAGTATGTGATGATAAAGGAAGGAAAGTGTGTTCTATGAAACATTTAAAAGGAAATTAAATTGTTTTCTGAAAAGGAAAGCTGGAGAGGGTTCAGAAGAGATTTACCAAAATGTTGTTGGGTTTGGAAGGTCTGAGTTACAAGAAAGGCTGGGAGTTTTTTCACTGGAGCGTACGAGGTTGAGAGGCAACCTTATAGAAGTTTTTAAATAATGAGGGACATAGAGTTAATGGTAGTTGTCTTTTCCCTTGGATGGGGGACTTCAAGACCAGGGGCACATTTTTAAGGTGAGAGGAGAGAGATTTAAAAATTCTTTTACACAGAGGGTCATTCGTATATGGAATGAACTTCCTGAGGAAGTAGTGGATGCAGGTACAATTATGTTTAATAGACATTTGGATAAGTACATGACTAGGAAAGGTTTCGAGGGATATGGGCCAGGAGCAGGCAGATGGGACTAGTTTAATTTAGGGTTAGGATCGGCATGGACTGGTTGGACTGAAGGGTCCGTTTCTGTGCTGTATGACTATGAGTCTATTTGGAGTGCTAATGCAGACATGATCATCAAACAGCCTCCTTCTGTCCCATAACAATTCTGTAACAACAGGGCTGAATCATTCGATTTTCAACCTTAAAAACAACAAGACCAATGGAAGAAGGTAAAAGTGGAGAGAGGTTCTGTATCATCCATATGGTAGAAAGAACCATCAGTATTCATAGACTACAACATGCATGTAAATATGTATGTTACCACAGCAATTACTACTCTCTGAGGAACTGCAACATATCTACTATTGTTCATCCTATTCCCTTTTGCAACTTCCTACTGAATCTGCTTCCACTGTCCTTTCAGACAGTAACATTCCAGATCACAACAACTCATGACCTTAAAAATGTTCTCATCTTGCTTCTGGTTCTTTTGCCAATTACTTTCAACATGTAAACTTGCATTACTGACTCTCTTGCCAGCGTGAACAATTTTTTCACACTTGTTCTGTCAAAATCCTTCATGTTTCAAACCCCGACATTCAATTTCTCCTTAATCCTCTCTGCTCTAACCTGCTCAGCTTCTCCAATCATTGCAATCTACATCACATAAGTAAGCCATTTGGCCCATCAAATGCATATCAGCCAAAAAAGAGCTATCCAGTCTAATCTCATTTTTGAGCTATTAGTTTGTAGCCATGTAGGTTGTGTCACCCAAATATTTCCTAAATGTGATGAGCATTTCTGGTATTTCCACCCTTTTAGACATCATGTGCCAGACTCCCACCACCTCTGGATTAAAAACCTTTCTCCCAATTCCTTCTAACCAAAAGTTTTAACTCTATGACTCCTGGCTGTAATGGAAATAGCTCTTGCTACATACTCCATCTGGGCCTCTCACAATATTAGACACTTCAATTAAAGTACCCTTGGCCTCCTCTGTTCCAAAAACCATAGTGCATCTTTCAAGGCTGCAAGATGCGCTGAAATGTTTCACACCAACAAAATACTTCTGAAGTGCTGTCACTATTGGAATGTCTGAAATGCAGCAACAAATTTGTGCACAGCAATGTAATGATGACCCGAAACCCACAAACAGCAATGTGATGATGACCTGAAAAGCTGTCTTGGTGATGTTGATTGTAGGATAATTACTGACTGGAATATCTGATGTATCTGTCCTGCTACGCTTCAGAACAATGCTCTGGGATCTTTGACACCTAGCCGAGAGGGCTGACAGAGTCCCCGGTTATGATGTCATTTGAAAGATAACATCTACAACAGCAAACATCATTCCCAATTATTACTCTTGATTCCCTTGACTTGGTTCATGATATTATGACTCAGACAGAGGTGGAAATGCTACACACTTTGTTAATAGCCCCATCCCAGGAATTATGGGATGGCTGTCACTGTGAACACTCACTGTCAAGGACTGTACATGAAGCATGGTCACCAAGGCAACAGCTCAGGTTGAGAGATTTATTCTGGGATGAGAAGTTGACTGTTGAAGATTCAGCAGTTTAGGGTCAGTGATAGTGTCCCTACTCGGCAAGAAGGCCCAACTGCCCTTGAGGCATGCCATAACATGTCTGAACAGATTGATTAAAAACACTGTTGAAGATTCAACAGAATGGCCTTTGAACAGGGTTCCTCAGCAGGTTTTACACATGGAAGACTCTGAAAAGCTTCTGTAATGGTGCCACCAATTACACAGAGAGATGGTTATTGAAACAATAAAATAACCACCAGACTTTTACACTGTGAGGGGAAATGTCAATTCTGTGTGCTCCATCATTCTGAACAGACACAGTGTTCATCAGATGTGTTGTCTCTGAAGCTTCCCAGTAATACAAAGATACGAGAAGTCCACAAAGGAAACGTAAATTGTCACTTTTTGACAAGTTATTGGTCATATATTTAACTCAAGCTAATCACTAGGTTTTGCATTACATAGTATGCATAGTAGGAAAACTGATTATTGGACCAAACTGTGGTTTGTGTCAGTGTTTACCGTCTACAAGAGCACCCTCTATCCTACTTCAATGAATTTGATTTTGATTTGATACATTGTAGTCACATGTACCTAAGTACAATGAAAAGCTTTGCTTGCAAGTAGTATAGATAGATCATAGCAAACAAGGACAAACAGATCATAGGGTGCTTAGGCAGTGCGAGGCATACGGGGTTACGGCTGTACAGGAGGTGCGCAAAGCAAGATCAACATTGTTTGAAATTAAAGAGTCCATTCGGCAGTCTAATAACAGCAGGGAAAAAGATGTTCTTGAACCTGTTGGTGCACGTGTTCAAGCTTCTGTGTCTTCTGCCTGACAGAAGAGATTGAAAGACAGCATTACCAAGGTGGGAGGGGGTCTTTGATGATGTTGGCAGCCTTTCCTCAGCAACGAGCCATGTAAATGGAGTCCACAGATGGGAGGTTGGCTTCTGTGTGGTCTCTGGTTCATTTGCCAATGGCCTTAAATCACTGTCCTCTAGTTCTCAATCATTCTACCAATGGGAACAGTTTATCTCTATTTACTCTAACCAGACCCTGTCATGGTTTTGAAACAACTCCATCAAATCTCCTCTCAGTTTTCTCTTTTCTAAAGAATGTGCAGAGAGTAGTAAGTGATGTAATTTATATGAATTTCAGCAAGGCCTTTGACAACGTCTCACATGAGAGACTGATAAGGAAGGTAAAAGCACATGGGATCCAGGGTAATATGGCAAGTTAGATCCAAAATTGCTTACTGGCAGGAGAGAGAGGTTAGTGGTAGAAGGCTGTTTGTGTGACTGGAGGCTGGTGTCCAGTGATGTACCACAGGGATCAGTGCTGGGTCGCTTATTGTTCATGGCATAAATAAACAATGAAAATATGGGAGGTCTGATAAGAAGTTTGCAAATGATGTGAAAATTGGTCAGGTGGTGGACAGGGAGAAAGAAAGTCTTAGTTTATGACGATATAAACTGATTAGTCAGATACGCAGATAGTCAGTGGCAGACGGAGTTCTTTTTATTCACATATGAGATGTGGGCATTGCTGGCTGGCCAGCATTTATTGCCCATCTCTAGTTGCCATTGAGAAAGTGGTGGTGTGCTTCCTTCTTGAACCACTGCAGTCCATTGACCCAAAATGTCCATGGGGAACTTGCAGATGGTGGTGTTCCCACGTATCTGCTGTCCTTGTCCTTCTAGATGTAAGTGGTTATGGGTTTGGAACATGCTGTCTGAGGATCTTTGATGAATTTCTGCAGTGCATCTTATAGATAGTATATACTGCTGCTACTGAGCATCGGTGGTGGGCGAAATGGATGCTTGTAGACATAGTGCTAATCAAGGAGGCAGCTTTGTTCTGGATACTATCAAGTTTCTTGAGTGTTGTTGGAGCTGCACCCATCCAGGCAAGTGGGGAGTATTCCAACACAATTCTGACTTGAACTCTGGAGATCATGAACAGACTTCAGGGATTCAGGAGGCGAGCTGCTCGCTGCAGTATTCCTAGTCTCTGACCTGCTCTTGTAGCCACTGTGTTTATGTGGCAAGTCCAGTAAGTTCTGGTCAATGGTAATCCCCAGGATGTTGACAGTGGGGAATTCAGTGATGGTAACACCATTGAAATGTGAAGGGGCAGTGGTTATATTGTCTCTTACTTGAGATGGTCACTGCCTGATTTTAATGAGATGTGAATGTTACTTGACACTTATCAACCCAAGCCTAGATATTGTCCATACCTCTGTGCATTTGAACATGGACTGTTTCAGTATCCGAAGAGTTGCAAATTGCGCTGAACATTGTGCAATCATTGGCAAACATCCCACTTCTAATCTTATGACGGAGGGAAGGTCATTGATGAAGCAGCTGAAGATGGTTGGGCCTAGGACACAACCCTGAGGAACTCCTGCAGAGATGTCCTACAGCTGAGACGACTAACCTCCATCACTCACATCCATCTGGAGCACAAGTGTTCAGTACTATTGCTGGAATGTTGTCAGGGCCCACAAAGGCTCCAGAGGTCGCCACTTCCCTAGTCAAGCTCTTCCAGTACAGTTACAACACTGACATCTACCTAATAATGTGGAAATTGTTCATTTATGTCTTGTACACAAAAAGCGGGACAAACCCCGCCAGTTACTCTCCCATAAGTCTACTTTTGATCATCAGCTAAATGATGGAAGGTGCCATCAACAATGCTATCTGGCAGCACCTGCTCAGCAATACCCTGCTCACTGATCACGTGCCTCCAACCGTTTCTTGATATCACATGAAATGAACTAACTTGGCTGAAGACTGGCATCTGTGACACTGGGGAGAACAGGAGATGCATCATCCACTTGGCACTTCTAGCTGAAGTGTGAGGTGATGCACTTTGGAAGATGTAACAAAACAAGGGAGTACTCAATGAATAACAAGACACAAGGAATCTCAGAGGAACACAAGGATATTGGGATGCTGAAATCGCTGAAGGTGGCAGGGCAGGTTAATAGGATGGTTAAGAAGGCATACGGGACACCTGCCTTTATCAGTCAAGGCATAAATTATAAGAGCAGGGAAGTTATGTTGGAGCTATACAAGCTTTGGTTAGGCACAGCTGGAGTACTATGTGTGGTTCTGGTCACCACACTATAGGAAGGATGGAGATTCACCAGGATGTTAAATGGTATGGTACGCTTTAGCTGTGAAGACAGCCTGGATAAGACTGGGTTATTTTCTTCAGAGCAGAGAAGGTTGAAGAGAGACCTGATAGAAATGTAAAGTATTATGAGGACAAGGTGATTAGAAAGCAGTTGTTCCCCTTAGTTGACAGGTCAATAGCACTTTTAAGGTGGAAGGTAGAAGTTTAGAGGGAATTTTGAGGAAAAATATTTCCCCCAGAGGTCTGGAATGCAATGCCTGGGAATGTAGTTGAGGTGGGTAAGCTCACTACCTTTAAAAAGTGCTTGGATGAGCACTGGAAATGCCATAACATTCAAGGTATGGGCTTCGTGCTGCAATGTGGGACATGATTTTAAGATAGTTTTGGTGGTACAGACTCAATGGGCTGAAAGGCCTCTTCTGTACTGCATGATGTTAGAATATTCACTGATTTTTCTTTATTTTTATCATTGTTGGTTCAGAATTGTGAACTGCGAGCTGAAAGGTGAAGATGCCCTCTGGACTGTGAGCAGCAATTTTTTAAAAAAGAGGGAAAACAAACATATAGATATCTGTTTATGTGGCCAGGCATGGAAGTTAACTGGAGGTTGCTACTTATTCAAAGTACTCTTGTAGACATTTCAATTCTAGAGAGGCATTATGCTCAAACAATGGCAGATGTTTGAATATTTATTGAGGCCTCACAGGGAGTTATAATGTAAGTCAGCCCGGCAAAGAAAATGTTGGGAAAAACAGAAACACCAACCAAAGTTTGCACTGGTATTAACTGTGTGTTCACGTCAGAAAGATTGTGGCTGTCAAAGCTACAAAACAGAGGTTTGATTGCTCCCTAGTTATCCTCCCAGTTTCAACTTATTGAAAGCTTGGAGAATAGAATTTCCGTTATAAGAATTAAGTGAGTATTCATCAGAGCCCACTGGAAGCTGTTTGCACTGACTGGTGTCTTCAGAAACCAAACGAGTTACAATCCCATGTGCCTATAGTATTACAGATCGTGGAGACTGCTTAAGTGAACCGGCTGGTTACATGTCATTTTTCTTTTGATTCATCCCCTAACTGCATCTGTCTTTGTGGGGGGGGGGGGAGTTTAAACCGCAAAGGACCAGGTTTCAATTATAGACATTAATTAGACAACCTTGTTAATTTTGTTCCGCTAAAGCTACTTTATCCATAATTAATTGTTAATTCTTTAGTTTAAACTATAAAGTTGGAGTCTGATGTCAGTTATCTATAAAATCTGCTATTGGTGATTCAAAAAAGTCTGGTTAAGAACTATTGGGGCAATTTTGAGGGTTGTTGAGTATTTTGATTTTTTTGTGTTGTGAATACAGGGATAGGGAGGCTGGTTTAATGTGACTGTCTACCTCTGTTCCAATAACAACAATTCAATGATTCTAAGATTAGAATGAGGAGAATCAGCCTTTTGAGCCTCCTCCACCAATCATTGAGATCATGGCTGATCTTCTACTTCAACACCATGTCCCTGCACTATCTCCATATCACTTGATAATTTTAATGTGTAGAAAACTATCAAACTCTGCCTTGAACGTACCCAAAGACTAACCTCCACAGTCTCTGGGGCAGAGAATTCCCAAGTTTCTGAGTGAATAAATTCCTCATCAATTCAATTCTAAATGGCCTGCCCCCTATTCTGAGATTTTGTCCCCTAGTTTTAGATGTCACCTTCCAAAACCAAAAAGTTTGTATGTTTCAATAAGGCCGCTCCCCAGTCTTCTAAACTTCAGAGGCTATAGACCCTGTCCATTTAAAATTCCTTACAGGACAATCCCTCTAGCCCAGCTATTAGTTTGGTCAATTATCTCACTTCCTCTATGGCAAGTATATCCTTCCTAAGTTAAAATACCAAAATTGCACACAATACTCCCAGTGTGGTCTTACCAAAGGTCTTTATCATTGCAATAAAACATCTTTATTCAAACCCTCTTTCAATAAAGGCCAACATACCATTTACCTTCTTAATTACTTGCTGAACCTACATGTTAACTTTCATTGACTCATGAACAAGAACATCCAAGTCCTTTTAAAGTTCAGCATTTCCCACCTTCTCACCATTTAAGGAATACTGTGTCTTTTTTTTCCCTACCAAAGTGGATAACCTCACAATTTTCCACATTGTATTCCATCTGCCAGATGTTTACCTACTCACTTAGCCTCTCCAAATCCACTTGAATAGTCTTCACATTATCCTCACAATTCTTGCTTCCTCCTAGTTTTGTGTCATTTGCGAACCTCGATATATTACATTTAATCCCCACGTCATTGACACAGTTTATGAAAGGCTTTGGCCCAAACACTGAGCCTGTGCTACCAAATTAGTCATACCCATAAAATGATATGTTTATCCTCACTCTGCCTATTAATCACTTCTCAATCAGTGCATTCCCCCCAACCCCAAATGCTCTAATTTTGTTTACTAACTTCTTATGTGGGATCGTGGCAAAGGCATTCTGAAAATCTAAATATTCCACATCGACCTGTTCATTCGTATCTATTTTGCTAGGTTCATTCTCAAAATACTTCAATAGGTTAATCAAACAAGATTTCCTTTTCTTAAACACCAGATTTGCCAACAACCCCACCATTCCTGTAGATCTTTTGTATATCACTGCCAATGTCTTCATGTGACCTTAACAGCGTAATCTCTATTCCTTGCTCCGTTGTGTTAATCCTGAATGTTTAGTGATATTCACCTCAACTCCATGGGGTAATGATGAGTCCAGTCACTCTCTGAATGTCCCTCCTGAATTTTCTATTGGATCTATTAGTGACTGAATTCCATTTATCATCCCCTAATTTCAGTCTCCACACCTTCTTTATATCGATCCTACAGCACCTTCTCATAACCTTAAACCCCTCTATCAGGTTTACACACCCAAAAACCCCCACCTGCTCTTTCTGAGGTGGTTTCATCATGAGGGTAGTTATTCTCTGTTTTACGCACATACACCCTATAAAGTTGTTAAGACAGGTGTACTAACCTACGTTCTTGTCCAAACAAGCGCTCAACCTCCTCTCGTCCAGGGCTCCGCGTTCGATTCTTCTGCCCTAGCTGCTTACAATCCTGCTCCAATTTCTCTCGACTGATGATTCGCTTGGGCATTGGGATATCAGCCAACACTGTGTAGTCCCGCCGGAGGAGCCTGCCATCTGAGCTGGCCACACTGCCCGTGCCCCAGCTCGACTCTGACTCAAAGGAGCTCTGTGATGATGTCAAGCGGCCGAGGCTGAGCACCCCTCCCCCTCCCGCAATGTTGCCAAGTGCAGCCGAGCTTTGGCTCACGCTCTTGGTCTCTACTGTCCCCCGCGGACTGGGGGCCAGGTTGTGAACTGAGTCCTGTTTCAATCGTTCCAAGGAGAAGTATTCACTTTCCATCCGCGAATTCCGGCTGCTTACTCGGTCTCTGCTTAACAACTCTCCGCCTGCCAATGACAATGGCACAATCAGTTCTGAGTTCCACAACAAACATATTTTATAGCCCTCCACGGCCTCACCAGGGGTAGGGGCAGAAACTCTGCAACACTCGGCCCCAACCCCATGCCCAACCTGAACATAGCAAGCCCCCACAGTCCTGAGCTGTGGTTATTGGGCCTTGATGTGCCCTTTGTCCTGGGCCTTTATGCCACACCTTTCCCTATCTCTGTCATCTCCTCTAGCCCTACAACCCTCAGAGATCTTGGCATTCCTCAAACTCTGCTCTTTGCCTCTATCCAATTTCAACTGCACCACAACTGGGGCCATGTTTTGAGCTACCTAGAACCAATGGCCTATGGACAAAAGCAGATCCTGCAGGTATCATTTCAGGAGCTAGAGAGGAAATTAAAGATCAGGAAGGATCTCCTTAGAAAACTTTCCTGGCTCTAGACGGCAGCATGGTGGCTCAGTGGCTAGCACTGCTATCTCACAGCACCAGGGACCTAGGTTCGATTCCAGCCTTGGGTGACTGTCTGTGTGGAGTTTGCACATTCTACCCATGTTTATGTGAGTTTTCTCTGGGTGCTCCGGTTTCCTCTCACAGTCCAAAGATGTCCAGGTTAGGTGGATTGGCCATGGGAAATGCAGGGTTATGGGGATGGAGTAGGTCTGGGCAGGATGCTTTCTGGAGGGGTGGTGTAGACTCGATGGGCCAAATAGCTTGCAACTACACTGTAGGGATTCTGTGATTCTATGATCTTTCCCCTGTCAATGATCTGGTAAGTATAGCATCAGTAAAATAAAATGGGCTGAGACTACAAACAGACCCCAGAGCCCGGTACCCTGACAGTGTTGGGGATTGGTGGGGTGAGGGACCTCATGGTAATTTAGGGAGGTAAGACTTGGATGGCTGAGGAAGGGGGGCAGGGTAAGATTCTTAATGGAGATGCATTGTAGGGGGCAGGAAGCAATATCCACTGGGAGCAAACACTGGGGGGTAGGGCACAGGTAGGGCATCTTAAGTGAGGCAAACCAAGCTTATCTTCTTGAGGACTGACAAACAGGCTCACCTACCAAGCTTTCCCCTTACCTCTAAACCTCTGCCACCAGAGCAGGAAACCTTCAATAAGTAGCCAATCATTGCCAATTTAAGGGCCTCAACTGGGGCAAGGGTGGGTGGGATGCCATGGCCCTCATCCACCCCACCTGAAATTATAGTCAGGCCAGGACAGGCAGATGGTGCCTGGAAGGCCACCAAGGGTATGGTACAGGCTTTACCACCCCAATCTGAAAACTAGCCAGCTTGAGAGTAGCGGAGATGGAGACAATGAAATTCTGTCCAGTGAAATTAAATAAATAGGAGAAGGATGCTTTTGAAAATAATAAAGTTCAAAATACAATACAGAACCATTGTGCCTAATGCAGAAAGTTTAAAGAGGGTCAAGAAAATGAAAAGACAGAATAGGCATTAGGATGGTGCCAAAGAATTGGAAGAATGCACTTGGTACACCGCTGTTTAAAAAAAGGGGTAGAGATGAACCTGTGCAGTCTGTCTGCCATGGGCAGTGGGGAAAATTTTAGAGTATCAATCTAGGATGAAGCTAAAAAGCACTTGGAAAAATAAATGGAAGATGGCACAGCATTGTGGAATTAAGGCTACAATCAGATCAGCCTTGACCTTAATGAAAGACAATACAGCTTCAAAGGCATGAACGGCCTACTCCTGCTCCTCTTTCGTTAACATCTTACGATTTTGTAAAAACAAACTGCGTTTAACAAACTTAACTGAATTCTTTGGTGAAGCCACATTGAGAAATGATGAGCGTAGCAAGGTGGATGTGGTGTCTGTAGGATTTGCAAACATGTTTGACTAAGTGCCACATTTGTTTAGCAAAACTGAAGCCTATGGGAATAAAGAGACAGTAGCAATCTACATACATAACTGTTTGGGATAAAAAAGCAAATAGCAGTGGTGAATGATTGTGCTACAGGAGACAGGTGGTCCCCAGCAATCAGTATTGGAGTCATTAACCTTATATTAATGACCAGGTCTTGGGTACAATGGAAATAATTTCAAAGTATGCAGATAGCATAAAATTCAGAAATGTCTTTAACAATGATTACAGTAACAGATTTCAGGCAGGTAAGATTGACAAATACATACCAGGTAAAATTTAACGCACTGGAATTGCATGTGACACATTTTAGCAGGAATTCAGAAGAGAAAAGGGCACAAGCTAAATGAATCAACTTTATGGAGGTGGTGATCAGGAAAAAAACGACATTGGGTTGTTTTAAGAGAAATCTTTGACAAGATAAATAGTGAATATCTTTAAGAAAAACATATGGGATCCCAGCCCTCAATAACAGAGGCCAAGGCTGCACATTTATGTCAGAGGTGGGAATCAGGAGATGGGATTAATCCCAATGTTGTGAGCAAGTCTCCATTGTCCAGCTGCTGAGAAGTGGAGGCTCCACCACATGCTGGAGGAGCACGTGTCCTTTCAATTGGCAGCTTGGAGGTTGGAGGGATAGCCCTGAGCCCTTTCCCAATCCCCCTGCATTTCCCTATCCCCCTGTGTTTTCCTATTCCCCCTTGTTTCCTTATCCCCCACCATGTTTCCCTAAGCCCTGCATTTCTCCATCCCCCTGCGTTTCTCTAACCACCTGTGTTTCCCTAACTCCTTGTGTTTTCCTATCCCCATGTTTTTCAATACCCCTGTGTTTCCCTAGCCTCCTGCGTTCCCTATCCAATCTGTGATTTCACTGATATCTTCCTTAGTTTGATGTCAATTTTTGTTTGATTGCTCTCCTGGGACCTTGGGGTGTTATCCTACATCAAAGGCACCATTTCCATGGAAAGCTTCTTTTTCTTTATGTCATTGGTTAATGAGCTTCTTTTGCCGGTTCCAGCACAAACATACTCCTGTAGGATTCCACAGAATTTCCTATAACTGGGTTGGATGGGACAAACTTCAAGAAATTAATAACTCAGTTGAAGAACTAAGATCCATCAGGGAAGGTTGAATTGAGAAGGAAAGAAGTGGCAGACATCAAGACAAATGGATTGCAGGACATCAGGCAGAGGATTCAGAATAGGTCATTGCAAGAAGACAGCACAGTCACGCGTGTGAAGTGCTGCATCGTTTGCATATGAGAGTTGTAGTCTGATGAAAGACAATGGGAAAAGGAAAAACAACATCTGGCAGATCAGATGGATGGACAGAAAGACCAATATGTGGGGATAGTAAGAACTGCTGATGCTGGAGTCACAGATAACACAGTGTGGAGCTGGAGGAACACAGCAGGCCAGGCAGCATCAGAGGAGCAGGAAAGCTGATGTTTCGGGTCGGGACCCTTTTTCAGAAATTGACCCGAAATGTCAGCTTTCCTGCTCCTCTGATGCTACCTGGCTGGCTGTGTCCCTCCAGCTCCACACTGTAAGACCAATATGTGGGTTTGATTAAGAGTAGACATTCAGGGATCATTAGGGTCACTAAGTACAGTCAGAGAGAGAAATGCAGACAATTACGGACATGGGAAACAAAATCATGGCAGCCTTATCCTGGCAATAGCTGAAGGAGAATTCAGAAGTAAAATCAGAAGTGGAAGAAGGGAAATGGGACAAGTGAACAATGTTGAAACCTTGTCAATGAAAAGGCAAGACGCTGCCAGCAGCTTCAGTAATATTACAGTAAGTGAAGAACTCAGAGGATCTGTTCGGTATACATTATATTCACCACCAGTAAGTTCAGCTCCTCAGAAGAGGATTAAAGAGGAAGACTATTAAAGTTATAATCTCCAGAGTACTTACACTGCCATGTGCTACCGGGTATAGAAATAGGAAAGCAGGCCAAACGAACGTGTAGCTAAAGAATGATATAGGAGGAAGGGCTTTTAAATTTTTGGATCATTGAGACAGAATCTGGTGTAGGTGGGACCCGTACCAGCTGGACAGATTACACCTGAACTGGAATGGGTCTGTTCATGCTGTTAGGGAGGTTTTACACTGATTTGGCAGGTTGATAAGGCACGGGGTAGATGTAAATTTGGGAGCAAAGTCTAATCAAATATAGAATGAATGCTAGTATAGTCCAGTAGGTGAAGAAGACATGGGCAAGATGAGGCACATAGGAGGTTTAGATAGTTAAATTGCATCTATTTTAATGCACGGAGCTTGACTGGAAAAGTGGATGAACGTAGAGCATTGATCAGCACACAGGAATATGATATTGTGATCACTGAGACATGGTTGAAGGAAAAACAAGACGGGCAGCTCAACATTCCAGGATATAGAAGGTTCAGGTGCAATAGTGGGGGAAAGTAAAGTGAGGTGGGGGCATTGCATTATTGATAAAGAAAACAATCACACAGTAATGAGAGTGAGCACCTAAGAAGGGTCTTCAAACGAGGCCATCAGGGTAGAGCTTAGAAATAAAGAAGGGCGATTACCTAGTTAGGATTTTACTACAGGCCTCTCAAAAGTCAAAGGGAGATAATCAAAGGTGCAGGTATGTAGGCAAATCACAGGAAGGTGTGATAGAAATAGGGTTATAGTTGTAGGGGATTTCAACTCTGCTAATATTAACTGGGATTGCCTTAGTGTGAAAGGATCAGACAAGGTGAATTTTTAAAGCGCATCCAGGAGAGTTTTCTGTGCCTGTATATAGACAGACCTACTAAAGATAGGGCAGTGGCACTCCTAATCCTAGGGAATGATGCTGATTGAAATTTCAGTGGATGAGCATTTTGAGCATAGCGACCATAACTCTGTAAGTATCAAAGTCATTATGAAAAAGGATAAGGGCAGTGCGGAAGTTAAATGTCTAAACTAGGGGAAGGCCAATTTCAATCACATTAGATAAACACAGACTGGAAACCAGACTGAGAGCTGCTTCTTCCAGTTAAGTTTACATTTGGAAAGTGGAAGTCTTTTAGAAGTAGTACAGTGAGAATTCAGGGATAGTGTGTTGCTCAAAGAGTGAAGGACAAGGGCAGCAAATCCAGGAAAACCTGGATGTCAAGGGATATTGAGAGTTTAATAAAGAAACACAAGGAAGTATACATCAGGTACAGTGCTTTAAAAACAGTATAAAAGTTTAGGAAATTGCATAAAAAGGAAATTAGGAGGCCAAAGAGAGGCCACAAAATATCTTTGGCATATGGGATCAAGGAAAAAGCCACAGCTTTTTACAATACAAGTAACAGGATTACCAGGCAAAGAGTGGGATCTATTAGACAGCAAATGGGCAATCTGTACATTGAGCCAGTGGACATGGGTGACGTCATACATGAATACTTTTTCAATCTGTAACACAGAGGAGAAAGACATTGTAGCTAGAAATATATAAGATGGGATGGTGAGGTTCTAGAATATGTTAATACTAATAAGGAGGAGATATTGGATGTTTGAGCAGGCAAACAACTGCATAAATCACCAGGACCTGGTGAGATATATCCCAGGCTGCTATAGGAGACAAAGGAGGAGATTACTGAGGTCCTGGTGGATACATTTAACACTTTGCTAGCTACAGGCAAAGTACCAGATGACTGGAGGATTGCTAATATGGTTCCTTTGTTCAAGAAGGGTAGTGAAGATAGACCAGGTTACTACAGACCAGTTATTCTGACATGTGTTAGGGAAATGATTAGAAAAAAATCTCAAGGACAGGAATAATCAACACTAGAGGGAGATCCTGACTAATTCAATTGAGTTCTTTTAAAAGGTGACTAAATATATTTTGAGGGTAGTACAATTGATGTGGTTTATGTGGACTTCAGTAAAGTCTTTGACCAGGTTCCACATGGAAGGCTGGTCCAAAAGAAAAAAGCCCATGGGATCCAAGGCAAGTTGGCAAACGGGGGCGAAAACTGGCTTGCAAATAGAAGGCAGAGGTGGAGAGTTGTTTTTTAAATTGGAAGCCCGTGATCAGCGGTGTACCACAGGGATCAGTGCTGGGACTCTTGCTGTTTGTTCTGTACATTAATAACTTGGATGTGATGTAGGGATTATAATTAGTAAGTTGGCAAATGACATGAAAGTTGGTGGTGTTGCTGACGCTGAGGAGAAAGGTCTCAGGTTACAGTCTGATATTAATCAGCTGGTAAACTGGACAGAGCAATGACAGATGGAATTTAAGCCCGATAAGTGTAAGGTGATATATTTTGGGAAGTGTAGTAAGGGAAGGATGTACACAATGAATAGTAGTTCCCTAGGGAGTACTGAGGAACAAAGCGACCTTGGTGTGTGACTTCATTTATCCCTGAAGGTATCAGCACAGGTAGACAGGGTAATGAAGAAGCCATACAGGATGTATGCATTCATTAGCCAGGGCATAGAATATAGAAGCAAAGAAGTCTTGTAACAACTTTATAAAACATTGGTTGGGCCACAGATGGAATACTTTGTGCAGTTCTGCTTGCCACAGTATTGCAAGGATGAGATTGCACTGGAGAGGGTGCAGAGGAGATTCAGCAGGACGTTGCCTGGGATGAAAAGTCTCAGTTATAAGGATTGACTGAATAGGCTAGGTTTTCCTTGGAGCAGAGGAGGCCGTAGAGAAATCTGATTGAGGTATATAAAATTATGAGAGGCATATACAGAGTAGATTGTGAGAATCTCTTCCCCAAGGCAGACATGTTTACAACAAGAGGGCATACGTTTAAGATGAGAAGCAAGTAGTATAGAAAAGATCTGAGAATTTTTTTTAACCCAGAGAGTGGTACTTATATGGACCGTGCTTCCTGACAGAGTGGTGGAGGCAGGTACACTATCAACATTTAAGAAGCATTTGGATAAGTGCTAAAAATGCCAGGGCATAGTAGGCTATGGACCAAGTGCAGGTCAATGGGACTTAATGTTGTTTGGTGTTTGTTGATCAGCATCAACACGATGAGTGAAAGGGCCTGTTTCAATGCTGTGTGACTCTATGACTTCATAACTCACCCACTGATGCCACAGCCTTTCCTCGGGTCTCCACTGAATCTGACCGTCCCCAGGAGTGCATTCTGTTGCGCAAATGGCTCCATGTTGGATTGTCAGAATGCATGTCCCAATTCCTCCCTTCCCTTTGGAGAGCAGAGGCGCTTGACCCTAGCATTCGTTCCCCTCGCGACGAGTGTCCTCTGGTTATCGTGGCACTGGACAACTCTGAGGTCTGTAGAATGAAAGTAAAGTTATATGCTATTGACAAGATAGATCCTTTTCCTTTAGGTAACTGTTATGAGGGTTGGCTGGTGGTCTTACCCAAAACGGAGCTGTGTCCACGGCCCATTTCCTCGTAAGCTGACTTGTCAGGTGATTATGTATCCTTGGCTCCATCTGCCAACTTTGAAAATAAAAAAACAAATCAATGACTGATGTCCAAGAACAAAAGGAGGCCATTCTGCCCTTCTCAAGCCCAATATGCAATTCAATCAGTTCATGGCTGACTCCTCCCTCAATGCTATTTAGCCGCCTTAGCTATTCTGGTTATAAACGTATAGGATTTTGGTGACACTACACCTGAAATCCTGTGTGGACTTTTGGTCTCCATATTTAAAGATTTACTTAGAAGGCATCACAGCAAAAGGTCACTAGATTGGTCCCTAGAATGAGAGCATTGTTCTGTGATGATAAGCTGAGTAAACTGGGCTGTCAACTCTTTGTGGTTTAGAAGAATGAGAGATGATCTCATTAAAATTCTGAAGGAATTGATTAGGGTAGATACTGAGATATTGTTTCCCCTGGCTAGGAATCTGGAATGAGGGCCTAGCTTCAGAATAAGAGGCAGATCATTTAGGATTGAGATGAGGAGAAATTTCTATGCTCAATGGTTGGTGAATTCTGCCACAGATGGTTGTGGATACTCTATCATTGAATACGTATAAGGCTGAGACAGACAAATCTTTGATCTCTCAGGGAATCAAGGAATATGGAGTGTGGGCAGGAAAATGGAATTGAAACTAAAGTCAATCACAATCATGTTGAATGGCAGGAAGGCTCAACTGGCCAAATGGTCTAGCTTGATCCTATTTTTGTGCCTCTAGCTCTTTCCCTTGATACTTTTATGCAATAAAAATCTACTAACCTCATACTTGAAAGCAACAACTGAATAGTAGCTTTTGCAGCTTTTGGTGAGAGAGAGTTCCACATTTCCATTCTCCTTTGTGTGGAGAAGTACTTCCTAAGTTTCCTCTTGAAAGGCCTACTTTTGAATTTATGGATTGGATTTACTGCTGTCTACGCTAAGTGTGGATGCAACAACGAACAACACCACCAGTGAGGTGGGCCAATCAAGCACTTCAGTACTGTCCGGCACACTTCTTGGCCAATCAGGAGTCCATGTCCCTCCCTGTCTGAAGCTGCCAGCTGGACAGCATCACTGCAGGCCTAGGCTAGGCAGCCATGAAAAGCTAATGTGAGGCTGTAATTATTTAATCTTGGGAGATGGCTGGGTCAGAGCTGTGAGGGGAGGGAGTCGGGGAGTTTGGAAGCTTTCAGCAGTCACTCCCCTACCCCGCTATCTTATCACCCTAATTACATCAATTGAGCACTTAAGATCATTAACTGATGATGGATCGGGAAGATCAGCTATGGGCCATCCCCCACAGAACTTGATTACAAAGGTGGTGGACAAGGGATGGTTTCTCTCCAGTGCCAACCCCTGTCTGATTATTTGCTCTATCTTTCGCGGGTGAACCGAATTTGCTCAACTTCTCATCATAGCACAACTGTCACACTCTCGGGACTAAGTTAATGAACCTCCACTGTACTCCTGGAGACCAAAACTGTACAGTCTAAATGTGGTTCACCAAAATCCTCAACCTATTCTCTTAAACAATCCCAGCATCTCAGGGACTAAACTGGTGTACCTCTGTAGCTCCCCCTCTATCATAAGTACATCCCTCCTTAGATAAGGAGACCAAAACTTTACACAACACTCCAGATGTGGCCTCACCAAGGCTCAAAACAATTGTAGGAAGACATTTTTCTTCTTTATTCATCTCAAAACCCCTTGCAATAAAGGTCAATATACCAACAGCTTTCCGAATTGCTTACTGCATCTGAATGTTAACTTGAACTGACTTATGAACATGACATCCAGGTCCATTTAGCCACACATTCTTCTCAATCTTTCTCCAATTGAAAACTACTCGACCTTTCAGTTTTTCTACCAAAGTGAACAACTTCACATTTATTTGGATTATATTCAATTTGCCATGTTCTAACCAAATTCACTTAACCTGTCTAAGTCTTCTTATATCCTCCTCATATTTACATACAGGCCGAGTTTGATGTTACCAGCAAACTTCAAAATATTACAAATGATCCCTACACCCAAATCATTTATACAAACTGTGAACAGATATGACCTCTACTCCTTATGGTACCCTGCTAGTGGTACTACCATCCTGAGAATGATCCATTTATTCCTACTCTCTGTTTTCTATCTGTTAGACAATTCTCAACACACCGTGGTATATTAACCCTTCCAATCCCATGTGCTCTAATTTTACTTGCAAACCTCCTGGACTTTATCAAAGGCCTTCTGAAATCCAAATGCACCCCTATGTTCCTTTATCAACATGACAAGTGACATCCACAAAAAAATTCCAACAAGTTTGTCAAACATGATTTCTCTTTCATAAATCTATGCTGACTTGACCCAATTTTACTATTCTTTCCTAAGTCTCCAATTATCACATCTCTTATAATAAATCTTAATACTTTCACTAATATTACATTGACTGGTCCTTAATTTTCCATTCTCCTTTAACCTTTCTTAAATCCTTGATCACTTTGTTGCCAGGTCTCTGTAATGGTGATGAGATGTAAATAATTTCCCACTGTACTTGCAACTGGTTCATCTATCTTATTGCGTATGCTTATCTTGCTTATTGCTTATTGCGTATCTTATTGCTCATTTACGAGAGTTTGTTAGCTCAGCTGGCTGGTTAGCAATACACAATGATCAATTCTCACACCAGCCAAAGTTACCATGAAGGGCTCAACTTCTCCACCTCTCTCCTCTTTAGATTTAGACTTTATTGTCATGTGTACTCGAGTACAGGAGTACAGTGAAAAGTGTACAAAGTCGCGAATCTCCGGCACCGTCTTAGTATACAACAGACAGGATTATCAGCAGAGGCAAAAATAAAACAAACAGCTGAAAGAAAAGAAAATGTCCAAGTCACTCCCCCTGCCTGAGGTGTGGTGACTATAGCACTATAGTGAATTAGGATTATGGTGACCTTACTTGTGCATTTAAATAAAAATCCTTTGACTTTTCATACGTCTACATTGTGTGATATTCTGATTTGTGTCTGCACAATTTTTGTTAAACTTTTGAGCCTTCCTCTCCCACTCTGCTTGTCTTTACCCACATTGCTATAGTGTTTCAGTTTCTTTACCTTTCTCTTTGGATTTCTAATTCTCCCTCCACCTAAATCCTCCATCCTGCACCCTCTTCCAATGCTGTTTATTTTAAGCCCTGTCCACAGGCCTAGTTATACAATTGGCCAGAACATTGGTCCCATCATGGTTCACATGGAATCCTCTCAATGGAATAGCTCACTTGTTCCTGAATATTGATTCCAGAACCCCTCGTGTTGAAATCCCTTCTTCCCACACTACTCTTTGGAACACGTGTTAATGCTCTATTCTGCTTGACCCTATGCTAAATGGTGCATGGCTTGGTTAACAATCCAAAATTGGCTGCCTTGAGTAGTGTGCATTGTAATTTGTACCCTAACTCCAGGTTTTGACAGTGGGGGAGATGAGGACTCAAAACTCCCCAGCTGGCTTACCCACAATCCAGCTGGCCTCAACTTTTATTTTACAGGGATCAGGTGACACCTAGGCTTGCCTGCCTTGCCTTGGCCGAACTAGGACCCTTAAATTGGCAATTATCGACAACTTGGGTTGTTTCCCACCTGGCCTGAATTTTAAAGTGAGGAGTTCAGAGGGGCTTCTTTCAGCCTCGACCAGGAAGGTGAGGGAGGACTCTCTCAATGGCTTCCTTTCCGTATCAAGCTGCCCACCTTACCCCCAATCTCCCACCCAAACACACACAAACACACACACACACACACACACACACACACACACACACACACACAGTCTGAGCCCCACCCCACCACCACCTCACAGCTGTTCCTTGCCTGTGAATATCCCCATCAAGTACCTGAGCTGCCAATAGTCTACATTTCCAACCTTGACCTCCCCAGCCTGGTCACTGCTGCTATTGGCACAACCGGTGAATGCGATTGGTTGGCAGCTCCCTGAGGCTGAATATTCTTCCCAAGTGAGGGCCAGAGTCCCATCTCTAACTAAAACATTTGTACCAATAGCAGCAGTGACCAGGACCGGGACTACAAGCCTTCCCCAGATTCTAAGACCCCGAGTCCAGGACCAGCAAGTTCAGATTGCTTTATAGCAGGTGAAGGTTGGAGATGTAGGGATTGGCGCTGGGATACTTGGATGAGGATTGCCACATGGGGCACGGAGCACCTGTGAGGTGGTGGTGGCGTGGGTACAGACCTTGTGGGGAGGTGTACAGGGAGATGAGTTTAGAACATGTCTATCCAATCTCCTTTCAAACTTAAATTAAAAATTGTATGTGGACCCAGAAGACAGGATGCAATCCTCAAAGAATATCTTGTGCTAGTCTTCACAATCAGAAAGAATGACATGGTTAAATGCATCAGTGTGGAAGACTGTGAAATATTGGAAGAAATTAACAGACAGCAAGAGGAGGTACATGTGGGTTTAAAAGTGGGTAAATCTGCAAGCCCAGGTGAGAAGTATCCAAGATTGTTCAGAGATGCAAGTGAGGAGATATCTGGGGCTCTGGAAGTAATTTTCAAATCCTCTCAGACCACATGTGAGCTGCCAGAGGACTACTCACGTTGTTGCATTCTTGAAAGAGGGAGGAAGTGATAATCAGGAATTACAGAACAGTCAGTCTAGCCTCAGTGGTGGGAAAGTTATTAGAAAGAATTCTGAAGGACAGAATATATCTTCAGTTGGAGGGCCACGGATTAATCAGAGATAATCAGCATGGACTTGTTAAAGGAAAGTCATGTTTGATAAATTTAATGACTTTTTGGAAAGAAATTACCAGGCCTGTTAGTGAGGATAATGTATTTGAGATTGTATACATGGATTTTAGTGAGATTTCTGATAAAATCCCTTATGGCAAACTGGTCAAGAAAGTAACAACTCATGGGATCCAAGGTAAAGTGGCATGTTGGATCCAAAACTGGTTGACAGGAAGGAAGCAATGATTGATGGTAGAGGGATGTTTCTGTGACTGGAAGCCTGTTTCCAATGGGGTTCCACACGGTT